GCGTGCGGCCCTGGCGCGCGGCGCGAGCCCGCGGTGCCCGTGCACATCGCGGTGCCCGAGGCGCGGTTCCTGCCCGAGGAGCAGCGCGAGGCCCTCGAGCTGCACATCCGCGCCAAGCGGCTGCAGCGCCGCGGGGAGCCGGGTGCACCCCGCGCCGCCCCGGGGGCCGCAGAGCCGGCGGTGGCAGCGGGCGAAGCCCCGGGAAGGCCCCAAGGACAACCGGAGCCCTGGGCAGTGCCGGCAGGGCCAGTGGTCTCCCTGGTGCCCGTCCCCACAGCCCCCAGCGTGGCCGGGGAGGATGCGACAGCACCACCGCCCGTGGAGAAGGCGATGGGAGCGAGTGCTGAGGCCAGGAGCCCTCCGGGGATGAAGGCAGGAGAGGATGAAAAGGCTCCGGTGGCCGCACCCCAACAGCCACAGCCCAAGCAGAAGCCTCAGGACCTCCCCACGTCACCGCAGGCCGGGATGGAGGCGGGAGCCCACGCTGCCACGCCGGCACCTTCCAGCGCAGCGTGGGAGCCCCCAGGCACCAGCGAGAGCCCAGCCCCGAGCCGGGATGTCCCCACGTGTCACTGTGCCCCCCAGCTCGGGCCGTGCAGCCCCTCACCGCAGCGCCAAGGCTACTCGCCACCGGCCTCCGTGGCCCCGCCGCACTGGAACAGGGGTCAGATCCTGCGGGCGCTGGAGTACGGACTGCAGGAAACGGCCCCGAGCCCACGGGACGGGACGGAGGCCCCCATGCCCAAGCAGCCTCCTTCCCCTCTGCCGTGCCCGGGGGTGCGGGTGGCAGCAGGGCACGCGGGTGCCCCCGGCTCCGCACCAGGACAGCCCGTGCTGCAGGGGCAGCCCCCGGCGCGGCGGCAGCTCTCGTGCCCCTGGCTGGAGCAGCACGTGGTGCAGCGGGCGCTGGGCACCTTCCTGCTGCCCGCCTGTGTCCGGGACTCACGGGCTGCCCACGAGGCCGCGCGGGCCGGCGGCTGCGGTGCTGCAGGACGTGGCGGGTGCCAGTGCCTGGCTGGCCCCGGCTGTGCCCACCCGGCCCGGGCAGCAGCACCGCGGGCACCACCGGGCCCCGCCGGCTGCCGCCGGCCACCCCAGCACCCTCCTGTCACGGAGCGCACGTGCAGGGCGGCCGCCTGGCACCCCAGGGCGCAGCCAGGGACGGTTGCGCTGGGCAACCCCGCTCCCCGCTCGGCGCACAGGGCGGGCAGGGGTCCCCGCAGCGGAACAGAAGCCCCCAGCGCAGCTGGCGGTGCAGGAGGGGACACCACGGAGCAGCAGCAGCGGGGACCCCACGGCACAGGGGCGCCTGGGCTGCTGCGGCTCCTGCGCCGCCTCGTGCCCTGGGCGTCGGGCAGGGAGCGCGCAGGGGGACGGCACTGGAGCAGCGCAGGCAGGGGGACAGCGGCAGCAGGGCGCCCACGCAGCCACGAGGGGCCCCGGCCACGTGGCCGCACAGGGGACACAGCCCCGCGCGTCCCGCGGCGCCGCTGGGGCAGCAGACGGGCCGGCAGCCCCACGAGCAGCCCCGGCGCCGCCATCCCCGCCACGTCCACCAGCACCGAGGCCACCTCAACATCCTCAGGGCCCCACAAGCGCCGTGGTGCCCCCCGCCGCGGCACCCCCGAGCAGCGGGCACCCCGTGCGTGTGCTGCAGTGCTCAGGAGGTGGCCACCGTGCAGGAGGCAGCAGCCCCGGGGCGGGAGGCAGCGCCCGCCTGGTGCCCAGAGTTCCTCAGGCACCGGGGCGCGCGGCACCCGCAGACACGTCAGCTCCCGGGGAGCACGGGCGTCACACAGCCGGGCAGCCCTGCCCCGTCGCAGCTCCAGACCGCGCCGCGGGGAGGACACATCCCTCGGGGACAGCTCGGCCTCACCGGGACACCGGTGCCCGTGTGGCCGGGCACGGGGCGCTCCCGGCGAGGGGCTCCATGGCACCCGGGGACACGCACGCTCCCGGCCCAGGGAGCCGTCAACATCGCCCACGAGCTCCACCAGCGAGCTCAGCTGCTCTCCGACCCCCAGCAAGAGGCCGTGGCCAAATCTGTGGCGTATTTGGAGGAAAAAGACTCTATTTTCTTAATAAATGCAGGAGAAATGCGGAGCCCTGCTGGCTGGCAGGGCCTTTAGGGGCCTGGAGCCCCCTCTCGTGGGCACCTCGACAATGGGCTGCCCAGCCCTGGGCTTGCAGGGCTCCAGCTCTGCCCCGCTCAGGAGGAGCACGAGCAGCTTCCCCAGCCCCTCTGCAGCTGGGGGCCCCAGACCTCCAACAGGCTGTGGGAGGTTTGCTGAGGGGCAGGGGTACAAGGGCAGCAACCACTCACACCTCGGGACACCCTTAATCCTTGGTGGAAAGGCTGCTCTCAGGGCAGCCCCTGCTCTGCAGCTGCCACCCTTGGCAGCAGCTCTGCCCAGAGAGCAGCCTGGGGCTGCTATGGGGCACTTCAGTCAGGGCTCTGCCTGCCCCACATTTGGGCTTGTGCAGAACTGCTGGGGCCAGCGTGTCCCTTCCCGCTGGGATAAGCTCCAGGCTCTACACAGATGGATAGGGCAGAGTTCCTGCTTCTCCGTAGGAGGAAGGGGAGCCCCAACTTGGAGCAGCCTCTCCAGTAAGCAGGAGGAGGAGGAGGAGGAAGATGAAGACTGCCCAGGGGAAGGGGAGACAACCCAGCATTGTGTTAGTGTTTCACACCTTTACTATGGTCCACAGTTAACAGCAGAAAGGGCCTTTTAAATAAGTTACAAACCAAAAAGATTCCATGGAAGTGCAAGACTTGCAGACAGTGGCATTAAGAGGACACCAAGAGCGTGGCCCCAAGGCACAGCCGCAAAGCAGAGGGTGCCCCCGAACCCACAGTGCCCCCCGTGCTGAGGCTGTGGGTGCTGGGGACACTGCAGCCGCTCCTGCGGTGCCAGGCAGCGGGGCCTGGCAGCAGGGCTGGGGCACTAGGGCCAGGGGGGCCCACGGGGGCTCCCCCAGCTCCCAGCACTGCCCTCACTCCGCCGCGGGTTTCACCTTCTTGGCTGCCTCCAGCTGTGTCAGTGTTTCATCCCACTGGACAAACTGCTTGGAGAGAAGCAGGGTCTGGGTGCGGCTCTTAAGGAAAAAGGGGGAGTGGAAACTTCATATGGAAACTTCAGGGAAGGAAACTGAGGTCAGAACATCAAGAACCGCCTGGCACTGTGACCCTGACCGACGGATGGGGAAGCCTGGGGCATCAGCACGTGTCAAGCCCACAATGACTCAAGCTGCCAAAGCCCGGAGCCACCAAAGAGGACCCAACTCCGACTCACGTCCACAAAGCACTTCTGAACAGAGACAGCATCCAAGGGGTTGGATCTGTGATCCCGGAGAGCCCAAAGCCTCCCAGGCACGAGACACATCCCAGGGCTGCTGCACGCCAAACACTGCAGGAGCTGATGTAGCCCAGAGGCTCTGGCTTGCAGATGACTCGCTGTGTGTCCTGCCCCAGACAGGGGGTGGCTCTCGGGTGGCGCTGCTCCTGATGGCAGTGACAAACGCCGACACTGCTGCTCAGCCTGGCACCGGGGGCTGTCTGCAGCCGGCGGGGCAGGCAGGGCACTGGGGACAAGCAGGGGTTCAGCTGGGTCATGCCCAAGGCACTGGCTAAAAGGATACCATTTTGTTGTAGTCTTCAAGGAGCGTCTTGACAGCGTCCGTGAGCACTTCGCACTGCTCCTGCAAAGAAGGAAGCCTCTGTGAGTGAGCACGGAGCCCCAGGACATTTGTCTTCCCAGTCCTTGATGCCAGACAGTGGAAATGCATTCAAAGCCAGTACTGACATAGGAGCTCATTACGGCTGGAGGTGCTTTGGCAGTCAAGAGAAATGAGAAGTTACAGAGAAACCCCAGTGCAAAGTGCCCGAGCGTGCGGGCTCCTGCCAAGCTGTACTCGTGTGGCCCGGAAGGGATCCACGCTGTGACACACGCCTGGCCACGGGGCTATCGAAACACACGCAGCAGAACAGCTCAGGGAGGCAGTAAGTGCTGCCCAGGACGCTCCCGAAAGGTCCCTCTGGCCGAGGCTGCCACGAACGTTTGCGTTACCTGCTGCTGTATGTGGATTTGCGAGAGCCGCTGCAGTTTGGCTGCGTGGTCAGGAACAGCTGAAAGCAGAGACAAAACGTTACCCCTCCAGGGCCCAGCACAGCTCTCCGAGTGCAACACCACACAGCAAAAACACCCCTGATCTCGCTAAAACACGCCTGGCTACGCTGCTCCTTAAACACCACGGTCACTTTGTGCGTGACCTTTCACCAAGGCCTGGCTACGCTGCACTTTTGCAAGGTCACTTTGGCACAAGTTAGGTGACGGGTAACGGGAAGGGAAACCTGACGGGAGCAGGGATGTGCTGGCACCACCACAGCTTAGGAGCAGCAGGCAGAGGGGCTGTGCCAGGCTGGGGAGCGTGTATAGACACTGGTCCCTGCAAAGGGGCCCCTCTGAGCTGCTGCTCCTCCTCAGCCCCGTGCAGCAGCCCTGCTCCCCGCAGACACCCGCTGGTGACACAGGACAGCTGCACCCTGCACAGTGCCACGAGGACAGAGCCTTCCCAGGCACGAGCAGGCAGAACCCTAAGTTTGCACCTATTTTACTCACACTATGTTGTGCACGTGTAGGTCTCCCTTCCTCAAGTCTGAAACTTGAGGGGGGGAAAAGAAAAACAAGAAAGAAAAGCAGAGGCCCAGGCTGGAGCTGACTGTTTGCAGCTCAGGGCCTGAGAAGAGAGAACAGTACCTTGGATACAGGGGCTGTCCAAGATGGGCTGGAGGTTCTTCACCTGCTCCAGAAGGGCTGCCTGGGCAGGAATCAGCTGCTCCTCTGATTGGGGAGAAAGCAGTCAACATACAGCCAAAGAACGAGCCAAGATGTTCTGTCACACCTCTGTCAGCCAACATATTTCGCCCAGTAAATAATCAGGACTGGGATGTGAAAAGCTATTTAAGCATCAGTTTCTCTTCTTGTGTTTTATCACCTCGAGGTTAAACCACCCAATGTTAAAGAGTCTTGACCTGATGAAGCTGAGGTTTGAATATGTTCAGGGAAGCACTAAAGGTGACAGATCCTTGTTCCAACACTACCTCTTCCCAGGATATTTAAAGAAAGACTTGTGGAGTGTTAAGGAAAAACGAGTGTCCTCCTTTTGTGTCCTGTCTCACCTGCCAAGATGAACTGCAGCTTCATGGCATCCGGCACGGCCATTCTGTCAATGTACTGGGGATCGAGGTATTTTATTACATCGTCAACTGAAATGAAAGGTGAGTTCAGAGACAAGGAGTAGAAGAAAACAAAATAAATAAACGAGGGTCACGGACAGACACCAGCACGATTCACGCGTCAAACCGGCGAGGCGCCACGGCAGGGCTCCCCGCTTCGGGAGCGGCACCGAGCGACTTCCTCGCGTTTCTGACCCAAAACGGGACGGCTGGGGGGGGGGGGGGGGGGCCGCCGTGCCGTTTCTCCCGTTGTTGGGCCGCCCCCAACGCGTTTCGCCGCCCCCGAGGCCACTCACTCTTCTTGTAGAGGATCTTGATCCTCTCCCTCTTGCTCGCCACGTTGCCCAGCGCCACGTGCACCTTGAGCAGCCCGTCCGCCACCTGCGGGGCGGCAGCGGCGGGGCCCGCGGCGTCAGCGCCGGCCCG